AAGTAAAGGAGGAAGTGAAAGAAGAAGTAAAGGAGGAAGTGAAAGAAGAAGTAAAGGAGGAAGTGAAAGAAGAAGTAAAGGAGGAAGTGAAAGAAGAAGTAAAGGAGGAAGTAAAAGAGGAAGTAAAGGAGGAAGTAAAGGAGAAAGTAAAGGAGAAAGTAAAGGAGAAAGTAAAGGAGGAAGTAAAGGAGAAAGTAAAGCAGGAAGTAAAAGAGAAAGTAAAGGAGGAAGTAAAAGAAGAAGTAAAGGAGGAAGTAAAGGAGAAAGTAAAGGAGGAAGTAAAGGAGAAAGTAAAGGAGGAAGTAAAAGAGGAAGTAGGAGCAAACGTAGTGTGTCCGTTGAAGCCCGAAGATTTCGCAATGGGGGGTTCGCAATCTGATAGTATGGTCAGGCCCCTTCAGGTCTCAGAGGAAGATTGGGCAAGATTACAAATGAACATGAATAAGGCAAGAGAAAAATGGATACAGGAGGTTAATAAAGAGTGGTCTAACTGGATTCAATCAGTTGAAAATAAATGGACAGAGAATAATCAAATTGCAAAAAAACCAGAGAACCCTCCAAACTTGAGAAAACAAGAAGGTACCAGCAGTAAATGGAAAAAGTTCTTTAGAATGTAAGTAAAATCCAAAACTGATCCACAATTGGAAAAAGGTTTTACAGAGCACTTCGTCCGAATAATTTAGAATTTTTGTGAAAGATATGCTACATTTTAAAAACAAAAAAATCAAAGAATGGTAAATGTATCACGGGAAAAAGAACCAAGGGTATTGTTGTTATGAATCGCTTGAACTTATGACAGCATCAAAATTCTTAAATTTGGCCAAGGCCCAAGAATGGTACCGAGTCAATCCTAATTTAATTAAACAAGGAAAACAACTTATGGCGTGGCTTCTCAATTAAAGAAAACAAATATTTAAAGCAGGAACACTCCAACTGGACTCAATGGGAACAAGATATAAATATGGTGTAATTAATTCAATGTGTGTAACACTTTCTGGAAAACGCCTAACCCAAGAAGAATGGAATCAATTTGTTAATGAAATACAAATTTAAATTGGAGAAAAAAAGAAGAAATTATTCAATTATAAAATACATATATTAAGTTAAATTAATATGAAAATTGTCTAAATTTTCGACCCTTCCGTAATTATAAATATTTGTAAAATATGATTTTAGGTATATTTACAGTTAATGTAAACATTAATTATTAGATTACAAAGAAAAAAAGAGAAAAGGGAAGGAGTGTAAACGCACAAACATAATATGTATATTGCTTAATGGAGTAAAGTGAAATGTTGTTATCATACTTCATTTCTATTTATTTATATTCCTTTGTGCCTTTCCAAGTAATAGGAAAATATGAATAATTCATAGAAACGAATACTCATTGCATAAGCTAACTTCATAAAACGATGCAGACAGCTTTTTGCCACACGGATACCGCTGTGAGAAGATGAGATTACTTCACTCATAATATATCATTCTGAGCACAGTTATAATATGTGCTCCCTTAACAAATAGAAAAAGAGGGAAAAAAGAAGAATTGCAGTGGAATTCAGAATACGGAGAAGAATACATATGTCTTTGGATTAGGCTATAAAAAAAGAACGAAAAAAAATTTGCACTCGGTATTATACATATTTATAACAACACAGGATTCCATTTTTTTCTGTTTTCAATATATAATGAACAAATAAATGGATAGGGAATTATACAATTACTGATTGCGCCTATACTTTTCGAAAATGGACGGATTCTATAAATCATACTACGAGGAGGTAGCAAATCATCAACACCCCCTTTTTTATTAGTAAAAGTATCAATACACCTCGACCAATTTTTTTTTGTAAATTGTTCTTTCGCGAACATAATTTTTATTATAGTTGCAGGAAAAAAGGTGAATGTATTGAGTATACTTGACATTATGATAATAGTTTGATATTTTTAAACTTCCTAAACATTGCCGTACCTGTTTTTATGCGAATTGATTATTCGACACCCTTTCCTTTTCATTCTATATTTCTTTACATTTCAAAAGGTTGATGCTGATTCATGTATACATAATGTATACATATATATGTTTGTATGTATTTGTTTATTATGCATACATTTGTTACATAATTTGAATTATTTCTAAGTGTGCAAGAATGAATATATGATATGTGAAACCCTGAAAAACCTGATCCCTCTAATAACAAATACATGCAGTAATGTGTTTCATAATTTACACCAAAAAATTTGTCATATTTTTACCAAAAAAAAATTATGTCTTAAAGAAGTTTTTAAAATTTAAACAAAAAAAAAATAAGTACACTTTCATGTGTACAATCACAAATGCACAGTATAGGACAATAAGTCATAGTGCAGCGGGAAAAATCATAAAATTTGTAATTCAAGCAATAGCATTGAATATTAACACAAAAAAAAAGGAGCATCGCACGAATTAATATATGTAAACCGATTTGTGCCTGCATATATTTCCTTCTCTTTGCGAACAATCGGGTATATTTTAAACTACATAAAAATTCGCAGTGAACTATCGGACTGTCTGATAGGTAATTAGCTCCTGTCGGTTAAAGTTGTTTTTGGTCATATTTTGTTACGGTCCCTTGTATTTTTCCCTTCATATCCATGTTCTCATTTGTTCATACTTCTATGTAATCTCTATCTGGTTCTACCTATATATTTCTTCCTCCTTCAAAATGGACAATTGTGCTTGATATTCCTGCACATATATGCTTCATTAGGGTCATTCTTGTTATAGCATTTCCTTGCTCTTTGCATTCCATGCTTTTACCAAATAATCACTCGTTAATATCTCATGGGTGTTCATATCACCTTGTGTCAGAGCTTATTCCTGGCGCACCCATGTCATCACTGCTCCATTACATATTTTAACCACGGCGACACTCTTTTATTAATAATGTTCCGGGCGAATCCCAGGATTTTCGCGCCATCCTTCTCTTTATATAATGGTACCCTTAAACTTAAATATGTAAGTCCTTCATATAGTAATACTCCACGGATAGTCGTAATCATGTGCGCACACCAATGCGCACGCAGAATTATTCTAACACATCAAAACTCTGCAGGCAATAATTTTCCTGGAATACCCATGCACTTCACAAAATAGTACACTTCAAAGCATAAAATCCCAAACCATGAATTCTGCACATGAAGTAAAACATCAACATCAACATTCTTCACAAACGTGTAATTCTCAATAGGGGGGGACGCAATCCAACTAGCAGTGTCACTCAAACATCATTATGATTGATCCAGGTGTGTTTCCTGAATAATAACACTCTGAATGGTAACCCATCAATTCATCACACAAAAAACTACATAAACATCAGTGCTCTTCAAAGAACAATGCACTTTGGCACATTCGCACGCTTCATCAGTAATGAAAATCAACAGGAGTACTTTATAAATAATAGTAACTCAGGACACGCCTCTACACTTCAAGTAGCAATACACTAGGCATGTGAATACTCTTCAGATATAATTACAATGGCAGTACAAATACTTCTTCGGCCATAGTACATCAGGGAATCCATACTCCTTAAGTAATTATGCTCCTTCAAATCATGGAGATATGCACCTAACAGTACTCTTTAAACAGTAATGCACTGCGGATATCTATATTATTTAAAAGAATAGTACATCAGCAACAAATATGCACCGCGGATATCAATATTATTTAAAAGAATAGTACATCGGGAAGAATTATGCGCTACACATATCCGTATATTCTTCATGCTTGATACACTGTACACATGAGTATGTTCTTCCGGTATGGTATTAATCACACATCAGTGTTGTCATCACATGTACACTTCGCATACCGGAGTATCTTCATCAGATGGATAACTAAGACATGTGGTCACCTTCATAAGTATGCACGAAAAAAAAGGACGACAGCTCTTCAGAATAGCGTTGCGGGAAGAGCCTCTTCAAAATATCCATAACACAAAAATATATCTTCATCGGTGACGCGATTTTAACACAAAAAAAAAACCATCTTCCTCCGGATATATCGGAACATATAATCATGATGAAGGATGCTGCGGATAATGTCGTCCTTAAAAAAAAAAAACAAATGCTGGACGAAAGCGGTATCATCAATATGGGGCGGTATAACTAGACTTCATAAAGACAAACTGACACCTATGGAATATCTTGATGCTGAAAAGGCAAACATATGAATCACTAAAAAAGTGCCACTCAAGGGGAAAAGAAATATCCCAAGAGCGTGTGAGAAATACATCATCATATAAATGTTACGAAATAAAAGTATCCTTGTAACAATGCAGTAAGAAATAGCATCAAAAAAGAATGCTACACACAAAAAAAATATATCATCAAAATAATACGGAATAAAAGCATCTTTGTAACAATGCTACGGAAAGAAAGCATCCTGGTAGAAATATACAAAACAATAAAAGGATGCATACAAAAAAAAGCGATATATAACATATATTATACAAACTCAACACTAATAATATGTAACATGAAAAAAAAAAAAAAAAAGGTCACTCATGGAAAAAGGGATGTGTAATATGTGTTACACAAACTCAAGACTCATAATCTGTAACATGAAAAAAAAAAAAAAAGGTCACTCATGGAAAAAGGGATGTGTAATATGTGTTACACAAACTCAACCCTAATAATATGTAACATGAAAAAAAAAAAAAAAAA